TGAGAAGGCCCACCTTCTGGACCCCGCTAATCGGAGTTCTTTTGCCGAGGGGGTCTGGAGCATGCCCTCTCTGTGAGATCAGGTGGGACGGGTTGACATCGTGGGGGCGAGGCGGTCCCTCAGGTAGCCTGGCCCCATGCCATGTAGGGCTTTAAAGGTGATAACCAACCTTTACAATTTAATGTATGGATCACGTCAATTTTGAACAAAATATCTTAAGCCTGCTGAGGTAGCGGAAATGTACACCTATAGTAGGATTGACAGTGAAGAAAAATAACAAAAGGGAAATCCTTTCTTCTTAAACTGGTGATAGTCACCACGGCAGCCATTTAATAGAGGCAATCTTCCAATGGTCACCATTTATGAGACATCCAACATGCTTTCAAGGTTCCAAATATGTCTATCATCCCAAAAAAGATGCTGATCTTACCCCAGATACATAAGAAGGAAATATAATAGATGAATCCTTAGGAGCTCAAACCTTTTTTTCAGCCTTCACAAGTGTAGAAAGATTCTCTTTGGGTGTTTTCCTTCCATTTGCAGTGACACTGTTTGGCCTGGAGATGGTTGTTGATACTAATTGCTCAGAGGCTTTCTTGAATCTCTGAGCCCCTTTGTCGCCAAGATCCTCCATCACCTGCAGAGATATTAAGCAACTAATTTGAAATCATTTGCGGTAATGAGAAAGCCACCTTGTTTTGGTTTTTGAGGAAAAGGAACATCTCCCTTGGTTTTGGAGGCTGTTATTTTAAAGCAAAATTATAGGAACTTTTTTTCTATTAAATATGACATTTAAAGTTTGTAGGTAAGCATACCTGGATTTTCACATCAGTCAAGGGTGTGGAGTTTAAAATGTCACTATTTAGGCTGTTTAAAAATGCTGCATCTTCTGAAGTACCTGAGGTGGAAGAGCATATGCCTAAAGGAAGTCAAATATTGATAGATTAAAATGGTTAATGAATGCGCAATAAAGCACAGTTCATTCAGAATCTATTTTTGAAATCAATACAGTATGTTGCTATTGTTACTATTAGCTAGCAAAAGGAGCCCATTCTCCAGTAACTAGAAGTCTTCTTTTTACACATATTTTACCTTTTACATACAAAGATGGATCGGTATTCTTGTGCATACACAGGTTAGACACAGACATGGGTGTATTTCTTCCATGGTTTTGTTGCTGGTCAGACATCCACTGAGGTGAGGCCTACAGCAAAGAGGCAACTTTTAAATGAATAAAAATATTTCTGCACATGCCATCATTTGAAATGTCTAGATGTATAAAGATTTGCCCACTTTCTGTGAAAGTGAGACTGAGACAAAAGCAACAAGAACAGTTATTACTTTTACTTCAGCCTTATTAAATATGGTATCCTCCTGAATTCCCAGCCAGAATACCCAGTTCTTAAAATTGTACCCCAGCCATTTTACCAGATAGGAAAAATTTGTTCCAGTGATACAGATATTGGGTGTTTTATAGACAACCTGAAGATATATTCCAAAAAGGTAAACTTTCATCCCACTTGTTTCTACATTGGGGATCCAACAAACAGGTCCTAAGGTCCTTTCCACAACCAAGGCTGTGCCAATCTCAGACTGGCATCATGCCCCTGAGGCTTATGTAGGACTTCCAGCTCTAGAGAAAATGGCACCAATACAGATTTACAAGGTTTCCTCTGGCTCTGCAAGGCAGGTCAATCCATGCCTTATCCTGCTTCTGCTGCCTAGAGGTTCTCCCCTTTCCTGTCATTCTGGCATTGTAGAACCTGGGTCTCTTCACCCTGTCCTCCCCATCTGCTCAGAGAGGTTGCTTTGCCACCAGTGGCTGGGTGGGCTGTTGTTCCCCTCAGCTTTAACAGCAAACATGGTGAGGGAACAGCCAACATTGTGATGGGGCACTTTTGTGCTTCCCCACTGGCCAGATGGAGGGCACTGGTTGGCTCAATAGGAGGATGGACTACAGCAAGGAAGACAGCAGGGAGAACACACATGCATCAGTGCAAAAATGCTGCAGAAATAGGAGGGGTGGAGTTAGTAAAGAAGTGCCTCAGTCAAAGAATGGAAACAGCAGGCAATAATCTTCCTAGTCTTCCTTCTCCTTTAGAATTCTTCCCCATAGGTCTAGAAGTCAGCCAGCCACCTAGAAAAGCTTATGATACTTTGCAGCCCTACGAACATTGTTACCATTCTCAAGATGTCTGAAATAAAAGTAAAAAACAGTTAGCTAATCAGAACCTGGGTGAAAGGTAGTCATCACCAAAGAGAGGCAAGCTTGAACCCTAAGCTTGTGAAAAGGGCACAGGGCCATGCATTCTGGTATTCCTTTCAACACCTGCAGGCAAGCAATCTTTGTGCATTCAGCTGTTAATCTAGATAGTCTGAGCAGCAAGATCTTAAAGAGGATGGGGTGTTCTGCTTGTGTTTGAATGCAAAGAGAACTTTCCATACAACTAAGGACCCTATGGTATCATATTCGGCAATGGCACAGAGAATTACTCACTTTGGATCTAGTCACTCAAGTGCAGGGAGATCAGAGCATTAAGCCTGAACAGGTTGACTTGAAAGGACAACAAAGCTGGCATTTGCTTTTCAGTGCTCATGTTCTGTTGAGCTTCTGGGTAATCTGTTTTCCCATTGCAGAGAACCCTTCCATCACCCTATGGCCTTTCTCTCGGCCTTAAACTGACCATTATTCCAGACCTAGCCTAAGAGCACCAGCATCTTATTCTTAGTGCCCATGTGTAGGCATTGCTTAGAATGCATTTCCTCCACTCCAACCCTCATCACAACATATAACCATGATTGCAGCTAATGAGAAAAATGCTTGGTTGCAAAATTACCAGCAGGCTATCATTTCACTGCCACCGCCTGCAAAATGCAAAAGAAAAGACAACTTTGCATTCAGAAAGCATCTCACGTAGGAAATGTTACAGGACTTTGAAAATAAGCAAATACACATGAGAAAAACTAACAACATGGAGGGGAGAGGGGTAGCAACAGTTTATTTCATTTCCCATTCATATGGGGTAGAAGTGACTTTTGGGGTGGGGGGGCTTGGTTTCATTATTGTACCAGGACTGATGGTAGTTCAGAGTAGAGCGCTCCTTGAATGACTGTCTTTATACTCTTGAACAGATCAAATGGAGTAGTAGTGATTGACTCATGGTGTGTTTTCTGCCTGCACTCAGGATTTCCAGATTGGTTTCTAATTGCTTTGGAGGGATTATGGCATGGAAAGGGTGGTAATCTGGGGACATGTCCTCAGACTGTTCACAGGTGATACAGGCTACTAACACATAAATAAACAAGCACCTTAGACTGTTGCATTAGACTCCCAGGCTATTCCTTCGAACAGGCACTTTGCCTGGGGAAAACACACAAGCTTTATCTAAATTTCTCTCCTATGTTGGGTATGCTGTGTACTTTTACTTTCTAACCTTTCTACCTTAGTGTGTTGTCTTGAAACAGTTTCATGCTGCACAGAGATCTGGCAAAGGTGGGTTACACAGAAAAATTAAAGGAACGGGTCTATTCAGGGAATCCACATTACTTTCTGAGTTTGAAAGGGTGTTTGATGGGGTGTCCTCCGACCAGTAGGGGTCAAACTTCTGTTATTAAGCATTTTAGATGGACTCCTTGCTCTTTGTTCTCCTCTTGCACTTTTCAGTGACTCAGACCTCAGCACTGCACTTCTGGTTGCCTAGAAGACATTAGAAGTTTTTACAAGAAATGACCTTTGCAGTCCCTATCGGTGAAAATGCAACTACGAAATAACAGCTGAAATAATGGAAATCCATGATGATGATGACCATCTATTTATATGATGTTTTTAGAGTTCAGTACCCTTAGTCATCTTACATTGTAAGCTTTACAATTGGCAAACTAAACGTAAGTAAGTGTCTTTTTTACCTGGTGCTCTCCAAATATCCTGGGACTACAATTTCCAAAACTGCCAGCCAGAGTGACCTTTGTGACTTACAGCCCCCACACATCTAGACAACGCTAGGCTAAGGAAAGGAAGATAGCCCCTTTTATAGTGTACCATATTAAAGATGGTGGAACCAAGGCTAAGAGAGAGACATATGCCCAAGGACACTTACTGAGGTCATGGAAGCAGCAAGATTCAGATTAGGATCTTGTTAGCTTAGTATATTACCCACAGGACCACATCAACTTTCATTTCATGTGGGGATTTGAGCCTCTGCTTCCATAGTCCAGCTACAATACTGCACAAGTTGTACCCATTCCCTATGTGTTGGAAGCATTTTTTTTCTTTTTTGTGCATCATCATGGTCACATGACTTACCTGGGCATTCCTATCTCTATGAGCCAAATCATCGAATGGTATTTTCCTTCTTACATGCACATTGATGAGATTCTTGTGGCTATCTTGCAATGGTCTCTCTTCTGCAGACTCTTGGGAGGATGTCCCTCTCAAAATAGCTGCAGAAAGCTGGGAAGGAAATGATGCATTAACAACAAAAATGTTTTAAGTGAGTGCAATACAGCCAGTAGTGATTCTCAGTACACCTGAATTTGAAAAAGTAAACAATGCTAAGGCGACATGTGCAGCAGCCAACTCCTTGGTGAGAAAAGAAAGGGCCAGCTTCCAGGAGATTTCTTGTCCTTGCACATGAATGAAATAAATCCCACTTTGCTGCCTACTCCAATACCACCAGCGCCTCCCTATGAATTGATATGCTGGTTAGATGCATTGTAAGATTTCATTAGGGGGAGTTCTGAAGCTGGTCTGAAAATAATCTGTTACCAATGGAATATTCTGACAAGACCCTTAGTCTTTACTCTGAAGCAGGCATGGGGAAGAGAGCCCAAGAGATTAAACTCAAATAATAAAAGTCTTGTTTATAGTACCGGTGTTTCTGATCTGTTAATAATATCCACTGCTCCATGTTTTCTCTGGGTTCCCATCTTCTGATGCTCAGAGACTCCAAGCTCATCCTGGAGCTCTAGGTTCTGCTTGGTCAGTGCTTCCACTTGACTCCTTAGCGTGCCATGGGCAGCTTGCCAGTGGATCTTGTTTCTCCTGAACTCCTCCTGTAGGCCTGCAATTTGCTTCTTTAACATCTGTCATTAGAAAGCAGATATTTTTCCAAGGAGAAAAAAGATACTGTTCCATTTCTGATGGAAGACTAAGTATTAGCATTAGGTGTTGGTCTTTCTTTATACCAAGATGAGAAATTATGGATGTTGGACATATTAGGGAGGTGTCAAGCTGGGAGAGATTTAGGCAGGCACCTCAAGGATGTTCTTGCACCTCCACCCCATCCCCCAGGTCAACAGATGCAAAAAGAGCTGAGTAACAACATAAAAAGAGAAAAATGGGAACTGAGAGCTTGTCAATTTGTAATTATTGCAATTGATTATGTGCCACAAGTCAGTGTCACCTCTTAGCAACCACATAGATAGACATCACCAAGATGGTCTGTCCCTAATCTGGCCCTTCAGTTCTTCCAATGATAATTATTGCAGTAAGACTAATGAATTCTAACCTCACATCTATCAAATGAATTGGACTATAAATTCTATCATCTTACCTAATCAGCAGGGACAGATATTAAAGATGATGCTAAGTGGAATTATGGAAGGCTGAAATCAATTAAACACCAACTTTCCCCCAAGATCATGCAAGCAAGTGCCTTTGAAAATGCAATGTGATGCTATTTCTCCCCACCAAACACAGGAAAGTAAGAGGAAAAATTCTGATAACTAGATCTTTGTGAAGGTTACTTGGCTGTTCCTCATACTTCTTCATCTGATCATTGCATGTGCACACACAAATAGCTATCTATAAAACACCAGACAACAGAGATCAGCACTGAACAATGTGCTGGTGAAATTTCAGAGAACCTCAAAGGAACATACATACAGCACACACACAGCACACGAAATCCTAACAAATTTTGGATAAGAATCTTGAAATTCACAAGATTTTGGAAGAAAAGATTTCATGAAATCTGGTGAGTAACTTTTCCAAAATCTCGGAAGATATGATGGTGGCTTCAGCCATTATTTTTCCAGTGATATTTTTTTGGCACCTGAAAAGATCTCCTATCAGACAGTAGAGGCCTATAAACCAAGCAGACAAGACTACTGGCTTGATATTATCATCATTCAGTTTGGTGACTTGCAGGTCCAATAAGATCTCTTTTAGATATTACTTCTTGCCATAGATAGCTTTTTCTGTTGGCAGCTAGGGATGCTGCTACATAACCACGTGCCCAAATTTCATTCACAGATTATGCCGTTTCAGTTCTAGTTGGAGGTAACAATGACCACCTTAAGAAAAGGTTTTGGGAAAGCAGTGATAATAGAGAGCAGAGGAGGCCTCTTACACTGACTCTTTAAAAATACCTCCCATACACAAACATATCTCAAGGAACTCTCCAGCATCCAAAACTTTGCACAGTAACTTTATTTAAAAATAAACAAAGCCACTAGCTTTTGGGACCCTGTTTTCCTCCCAAGTCATTTTGTTTCTCTCCTTTACACGAAACTGTCATCATATCAGACAAATTCCCTAATTATCAGTTCTATATTCTCATTAGAAAAAGTGAACTGAGGATTGCAGTTACAGCCAAAAAGATGCCACCTACTCTTATTTGTTCTGACTCTTCCTCTTTTTTAATAGCTGGTGTGGGCTTCTCACATTCTGATTTTTCTCTGGGGAGTTTCAATGTTTCTTGGCTCTTACATTCTTCCAGGGGATGTGATGTCTGAGCCCTGACAGCATCATACTGGCTGATTTGTCTTCTGCTGGGGAGAAAAAAACAACAAAACCCTAGCTATAGGAGTAGGAATATCATACGATCAGGAAGGCAAGCATTCACCAGTAGCTCCCCTTGCCCCCCAGTTTAATTCTGGATGGCTGGAATCTGAACATACAGGGTCAGCAATGCCAGGGACTTCCCCAGAAGTTTTACCATCCGTGCAAAATAAAACAGAAGAAAACAAAAAGATTCAAGGGTACATGCCAGAAAACTACCAGATCTCCTCTGGTTTTTCAAAAAAAAAAAAAAATGGTCCCAGAAAAAGAATTAAATGTCTAGTCACTACTGGTTTACACAGAAAATTAGACAAAATCTGCATTTCAGTAATACAAAGTTATAATTTGGACACTCGTGCTTGCCTTGACGTTTAATTTGGCCTTGATTTGCAACTCAGATAAGTTTGGGGATTGGTGTACCACAAAAGAAATGTATGAAATTACTAAATCCAACCTTTGGCTCATCCAGCCCTGCCTATGCACATTGGAAGTGGCTGTTTAGGATCTAAATGAGGATCTCATCAACTGCTTTCAGATCTTTTCAACTGGAGATAACAAGAAGTGAACCAGGGACTTTCTAAGTGCAAAGAATGTCTTCTGTCTCTGAATTACAAATCCCATCCTGCTGGATAGCTGCATCTCTAAATGGGAGACTGTAAATGCTCAGTTCACAGCCTAAAGATATCCAATAAATAATTCTGAAATGACTCAATATTTGGAGTTGTTAATCTGTTCTAACCCATCATTCTAGATTAGTTGACTTTCAGGAAATGTATTGTCGAAGGCTGGTGTGGGTCTTCCGGGCTGTGTTCAGGAAATGATTCAGAAACTATTTTACTAGGCCTCAAGTTGCATTCTTGTGATCCAGGAGGTGAAATACAATCCAGCAATTTCTTCCTATTAATTGTTTAATGTTAAAGATATCTGCCTTTATCCCTCTCCACTCTGATAAGTAAATCATAAGGAGATGTACTCAGATTTCACGTACTTAATCTCACATCAACCTCTTCTATTATTCACCCCTCAGAATACACCCACTGTTTTCAACACCTGCAATCTGAGCCATTTGCTTAACGACAAACATGTAAACAGATAAATACTCCAAGTAGTAAGAGTTAGAAATTGGTCCGATGAGATTCCAGTCAGGAGTGCAAATTTGGAACATTTTACAATTTTAACCTTTTCTCTTATTCTTCATTGTTTGTACCAGTATACTGTTATTGTTTGCATGCTAAAACCAGTATTTTTACCATTGCAGGTATAGATTTACAAATGTAAATACGAAGGCTTTAATTATATGGATATACATGTATTGGGAAGCATAGGATTCATACTTCTATCCTAAATAAATCTTCCTAATTTCCTTACCTGAGAATATCCATTGCTTTTGCTTGCTCATCTTTCATTTGAGCTAACAGAAAGGTTTCTCTACAGTTCACAGGAGCCTCCCATTTGTTTTCTCCTGGCTTGGCCATTTGCCTTTTTGGAGCTTGCTCTACAAAGAAATTCTTGTGAATATATTGTGTTAGTGTGTATTAACAAGATAAGGTAATGGAAGTCAAATAAGGTAATGGAAGTATCACGAAAACCTTTTGATTAGATTAGCATTTCTCAACCTCTGCATATGTGGACCAACTCCTAGAATTCCCCAGCCAGCATGCTGGCTGGGGAATTCTGGGAGTTGAAGTCCACACATCTTAAAGCTGTGGAGGCTGAAAAACACTGAATTAAGTTGATCAAAAGATATTACAGAGGAAAAAAAACTCTGAAACTCTGGTTCAGTAGACATGTTAAGCCAACATGTGATTTATTGTTTGATTGGCATCAGGGGTGTAAGTAGAGGTCTCTGGGCTCCAAACCAAACCACTCAGATGGAGCCCCCCAGCCCAACAATAGTCATTAGTGACAGAGCTGGTGATCATATTCTAGAGAGCAGAACTGAAGTGGTACTTGGGGTTTGCAGACATAAGCCACCTTTGGGGAAGAAATACAGCAGCAGAGGCTTAGGCACTGGCAGATTTAGGCACTCACAGTGGCACTGGCGAGTTTTGTTAGTACTAAGGCTATCTGATCTGAGCTGCAAAAAAAAAGAGGGGGGAATGGCCACTAGATTTCCGTATCACTTTACTGCCATCTAGTGTTCACCTTAGTTAGTCATAGTCTCTCATCAAATTCCATCATGACTTTAACAACCATTAAGCAAGAAATTGTTGAACTCACATGCATCAAAATCTTTCAGGCAATCTCAGAAAGGTCTCAACAGAGTGGATTTTTAACACATTACAAATATTAATTGGTAAGGTACTTGTAATCAGTCTCATAGGTAATCTGCATCTGCATAATCAGCTTATCTTCCCCTCCATCCCCCACCCCTCCAAAGTGCGATTCCATGAAGTTGCACGATATTGAATCAACTTTCAGAGGAATGGTAGCCCAAATGTTACTTTGGTGGTTCTTCTTATCACAGATTTATTAACATTATTGAAGGGAAAATGTTGACTTAACCCTAATGGAATCCTTCAGTTCATTCAATGGATCTGTATTTAACAGAGGATATGTAAGTGAAGAGTACCAAGCTCATCAAGAATTTCCAGTGCTTATGGTCTGAAAGGTCTAATCTGTTTTATTAAGGAAGTTACATGCTCACACAAAAAGACTACCTCTCTGAGCATCCTCTCCTCACTTCATAGTGGGGAAAAGGAAGGATAGAAGCAACCTTGTTTTTTCTGTAGGAAGCAGTTGAACAAGAGAGCCTGCTATTATCAGTTTTACAAAGCAGAGCAAAGACAAAGGGAGAAACTGAGAGGATTCCCTTTTTATCTCTCCTCTTAGTGTCCTTAGTGATTAGTAGAATAAAAGGTACAAAGAATCAGTGCTTCTGCAGCTGCATTTCAAACAATTATAAACCATCCATAACAAATCCCTACACTGTGGTATGGCACAACAGAGCACATTAAAGTTGGACCATGCTGGAAGCTCTTGGCAGATAGAATTCAGTTTCCACTTATTTTTTTAAAAATTCTCTCTTGTATAATCCCATTTATACAATTGGTGAAAATCAGAATGTATTTTTATCATTCCTGTAAGGATCATTAGGAAAGTTGTTTAGCCACTAGACTTATCAGAGTTAGTGCACTTTGCTTCACTGGGCAAAGTGACAGTCCGCCTCTCCAAAAAATCTAGCTTTTAATTACTGTTCATCTTCTATAAAGAAGATAAGAACAATGCACAAGAAAAAGGTAACAACAAGGAGAACCTCCCTAACAACATCCAGTCAGAAGGCCCAGATGATCTCCAACTTTATCTTCTCAATAAAATCTGAACATGTGCTGAAATCTCTTATTCAAGGAGATAATTAGTTCTGGGTTTGGGGCAAGAAGATTCAAAGTCCACCTGCCCACCACCCAGTTTTCCTAAAGCTGAGCTGAAGGTAAAAGTTCCCAGGAAAGAGGCTGAGAACTTCCCAGCCTCGCAGACTAAAGTGGGTTGTGTCAAAAAGCTCAGCCTGATTGGTGGCAGCCTAGTTTAAGAACCTTCTACCAACATTAAACCTCAATATTAACCTTCAACTCCCAGAATTCCACAGCCACACAGCTTAAAGTTGCCAAGGTTGCAAAACAGTGATATAAAGGATACCAACTGAATAGAGTAGATATAAAACAGGATCCCTATAGGGTATATACAAATTACCTAGAGTGCCTTTCTCATCTGGATTTGCTCTGCTCTTGAAAACAGGGAAAAGGCGAGCCACAAGATCATTTCTCAGAGGAATCTGCCAATTTAGTTCTCCACCATAATTACTTGCAGTACCCTTGATCAGTATTTCAGGCTCTCTTTGATCTTTTGTGGCTTCCCAGGGATGAAAAGGAGATGCTGTACAGGAAGACCTTTCACATTTTAGGCAGCCATCTCTGAGACTAGATTCGCTGCTGCTGCTGCTTGTGATCTGAGAGGTTTCCTTTTGGTCCATGAGTTCCCGAGCACTGAGTTTCTTTGGAAACAATTTTCCACAGCTTTTTAAGACGTAATCTTCAGCTCCACTAGGCTCATCTGTGGCATAATCAGCATCAGAGAGTTCCCCATCCTTGCCTGTGCTGGATGCTCTATGGAGCTTACACCTTGTGAAATATGGAGAACAAGGCAAATTTGATTCATTCTCATTGTCAGTAGATATGCAGAATGAATCACTCGAAGAGGATTTTCCATCCCATCTGTTTTCAGTGTTTGCATTGTTGTGGTGCTTCATTTGTGATTTAGCAGGTGTCATCCCCTGTTTTCTCTCTGGCTTAATTGTAACATTTATGATTTGATCATTGATTTTCTTAAATCGAGGGTTCCTTTCTAATTTGGTCTCTGGACATTTATCCACAGCAACATAATATTTATCTCTGCACTGCCCAATCCTTTGTGTACCTTGAAGAATCTGGAATCTGGAACTATGGTCCTCTGGATTAGATTGCTTCCATTCTATGTTCTGAAAGTCAGAAACATCTGGTGAAGGATTCCTTGACTTTCCTGTTACCTGTGATACATCACCATCTAAATCTTCCATAAGCCATACTGGAATCTTAGAAATGATGGATCTGCTGACAAGTTTACCAGAATGTTCTTTAGAACCAGGAGATGAAGAGTCATTTCTTTCAGCCATTTCTGCCTTAACTTCACATAGTTGTTCATGCCATTGCTGTGAAGGTTTGGACCAATTAAATGGTAGTTCAGATTCTTTTTCACTTACCATCTCTTCATCAACAAAACCAGCATTACTTTCTTTTCTGCTTTCTGACCTTGGTTCGCATTTATTATGCTGACATTTTACAACACCATTGGAAATAAAATAATTTGTATTTTTATCATCCAAGAACATAACAGCATGACTATTAACCTTCCTTTGTAACTCCAGGCATTTTCCCAGTTGTTTTCCTATTTCCCACTGATCGGGAGATGAGAAATTATGGCAATCAAAGCTGACTCTTTGGAGCAGTTCAGTAGGATTCTTGCCAAACCTTTCTCTATTTTCTTCACACTTCACAATGCCTTCTGGATATTCCAGAAATGACTTTGGATCCATCATTTCGGCCTCACCGGAATTCTGCAAGTAATATGGCAATATAAATAATGTAATGATATATAAGCCAAAATTTTAGCTAGTATTAATTGCTATTAAGACATGCAATCTTAAAGAGAGAAAATCTTATTCCAGAGTGAACAGCTAATCTCCTTTCCATTTTATTCATTTATGTTATGCATCTAAAACTTTACTTCTAGATATAGGATGTTATTCAATGCTCTGGCTGTCCAAAGACTTTTTCCCTTTCTTACTTTCTTCTCTGAAAGCAAATGACACACACCTAGACATCATGGTGTTCCCTTTCAGAGTAACCAGCATAACACAAAGTGCAGAAAAGAGAGTGACAAACATTAAGCCAAAGAAATTAAAGGTATGAAAGAAGAAAGGAAATAGAAATATAGCTACAGTAAATCTAATTCACACTAACAGCATTCACAATGTCTCTCCATACCAGTGTTTCTCAACCTTGGCAACTTTAAGATACATAGACTTCAACTCCCAGAATTCTCCAGCCAGCATTGCTAGCTAGGGAGTTCTGGGAGTTGAAGTCCACGTACCTTAAAGTTGCCAAGGTTGAGAAACACTGCTCCATACCTTTCTATCCTGGCAAACCATTCTTGCATCCACCATGACCATCCTCCGATTCTGTTCTTTGAGCTTCTCACCTCTCTTTTTTGGATCTCATCAGTGCCATCCAACCATGACTTTTTCCCATTTTTTTTCTTTGTCTAACCCCATTCATTTTTTCTTCTGCAATTGGACCCATATTCATTCTGTCTATATGACCAAGCCATCTGAGCATAATCCTTTCATACTGGTCACTCCCTTTCATCTTCAATCCATGTTCATTCAGCAGCCATTCATTCTTGAGCCTCTCCTTGTTTTACCACGTATGTCTTAAGTACCCATTTAGACTGCATTCAGCTTTTTTTAATGTTTCTCCTGACATACCTAACATTCATTTCCATATACCAAATTGGGCAGAAGCAGTCTCTTCTGCATTACTCACCTCTCTCAACAATCATTCCTTACAACAGACCATGTACCATCTTACTACGAGCATTTACATGTCTTAAAATGTCCCCGCTGATTTTCCCATCTTTAGAAAATATTCTACCAAGATACAAATCTTGATCTTAGATACATTGATTTTCAGATCCATACTTCTTGTTGCCTCTTACAATCTAACATTTGCCTACAAGTTCAAGTCTATTCACTTTATCACACATTTCCTCTTAATCAAGGGATATACAATCAACTGTTTTTCTCATATTCATACATTTCTCAATGAACTTCTGAAGAACAAAAATCTGGTTGGCACATTACTTGCATGGAATAAAGCCTCACTGTACTTCCCAAATTTTGCTAATTGTCTCCTCTTAAAACCTTTAGAAGTCTGTCTTTTCCAGACACCCTTACCAGTCTTATCACCCTGTAGTTTTTGCATTCATTTTTACTACATTTCCCTTTATATATTTATATATAAACTTCACACAACTACTCTATAAATAAACCACATCCATATTTTAACATTATAACATCTATACCTACAGTCTCACAATTTTTCATCATCCTCACAGCATTTACAATTTTCTTTCCATCATTTTTTTTCTTGGATACTAACATTTATACCATTTGTTTCAATTGTACTCTTCTTCATAACAATACTACTCCCATACACATTTCTCAAATAATCCTTCTAGAATTCAACATTTTTATTTTGAATCCCATTCACTTGGCCAACAGCTCCTTGTTTAGCTCTTTTCATCCATTTCCATGTTTGTTTGTTTTTAATTTCCAACAAAATAATTCTGCATTTCTTTATAGTTCCTCTAACTAGTGATTTTAAGCTGAAGTCCCGCTGTCTTTTCTTCTACCTGTCTTGATCAATATGCTGAAATTCTGTAGAGGGATAATTTCCCCTTCCTGCCTTTTCACTCAAAGACCTTAATTTGGGGGATCCATTAAACCCCTCCTGTATTACAAGAAATGCAAGAGCAAAATGTTTCACTGTAGCAGAGATGGACAATAAGCAGGAAAATTATTATTTGTGCATCACTGAGATATAACATGTTTTGGTAAAGCAAACAGTGTTGCTCTATAACAATTAAGCAAACATGATTTATTTCCTACTATTAAATCCTCCACAATATTCTCATTCACCTAGCTCATGCTATGAGTACCTGGTGCTGCATCTCAATTCCTGGAGAATCTACTTTCAGTTCTTCAACAAATTCCTCCATGTTTTTCTGTCTTTTTCCAGCACCAGGTCTGATTGATCTAGGACAGGAATAACAAAGCATATCTGAACAAAAAGAATGGGCAGTTTTCTGATTACCAATTGATTTCAAGCACATTATACTTTTCTTTGCCATCTTCTCCACTGAGCCTCTCCAGAAAGGGGGTCTTGCTTAAGATCTCAGGAGAGAGAAGAGCTCACCTGGTAGGCCAAAGTAGGCCTATAGACAAGAAGTTCCTCAGCCCTGCTTTATATAGAAAGTTTCAGTCAGAAAACAAACTTATTTTGTTCCTCCAAGTTGTTGGGCAGTAAGAAGACAAAGATGCTAAATTAGGTCTGCACTTGAATAACCTATAGTGTTATACATATTAAAACTTTTAACACAAAATTAATTATGAGCATGCTTTAGATGCAATTCTGCCATTGCTACTACAACAGTTATATAGATAATGGGAATATAAATATAATATAAATTAAAATTAAAACAACGGGAATGCCTCCTCACCCTCCAAGGGCAATTTCTTCATTTTTTCTTTGACAAGAGCGTGTGCATCATATTTTTAAATCACAACTTCATTTCACAGCTGTGCATAAGATTTGGTTGTGCTCTCACCTGTCAACTACAATGTCAGTCTTCACATTCCTTCTTAATCCCAAGGGGGACAAAGGAGCGTTCTCCTCTATGGGTTGTTCTTCCCTCTCTTCTGTAATACATGGCAAGCATTCAGGCCAAGATTCTTCAGTAAGGAAGAAAAAGGAGCAAGATGTTTTATAAAGGGGTGGTGGTGGAAAGAGAGTAATTATAAGCTATGTGGCTTAAAAAAGGAAAAAGGCTAAATAAAGACCTTTCTTATTCATTTTCCATATTGTATATTAGCAATGGCAAAGATTCAGCTAAGGCAGACATTAGCACTTATTCTGGTGGGAGCAGCTGGAGATGGATGCCAAGGTTGGCATCCAAAAGGGACATGGGCCATAGCAGGCTGCCTTGCTCAACCATCCAGCACAGTTCACAGATTTTGCTAGCCCATAAAGATTTTCACACATTTGATCCTGTTATTTGTTTTACTGCGGGGAAAAAAAGAAACAAAGTTTTCTCCAGAATGCATGCTTGCAACTGTACTCACAACACTTTTCTCAACTATTTGGGGATAGCTAGGCTAGCACTTCGGCTCCTGTTAATAAAAGAAAAGTAACTGGAGATCAGGTTGAAAGAATAGGAATCAGAAAATGCTGGAAATCAGTAATTTGGAAGTGACCTTATTGGATTCTCCATAACCAGTGAACAGCAACAACAGCAATTCCCAAGAAAAGCATATATATACACATTACATAAAATATGGCTTTGTTTACCTTTGATTGCACCATTTTTGTGTTCTTCGAGATTATGCCTAGAAGCATTTTCTGTGTTGGTCTCATGACTTTCAGGTAATGAGTCCATGTTTGTTTCTATGTATATAAAATGTTTACAATAAAAATAAAATAATCAAAAACAGCTGTGGTAATATTCTGAATGGCTTCAGGATTTTTCCAATTTACAGAAGTTCTAATGCAAAATTGGTAGGGAACTCACACATGGAAAAAGGCAAACAACTCGCATGCCATGTAACTGTATATATGGGGAAAACAGGGTTTAACCAACACACTTTGCTCCAATCTTGTTTGTTTTTTTTTAGCACTACATACAAGCCCTACTCAGGTACATACTATACATCAACAGATTGTTTGATGAGATATGTCATCCAACACCCCTACTACATATATATATATATATTTTCCCAATTTCCCCAAAATTTGTCCACATGCACCAAAACACGCCAGCATAAAGAACTCCATGTTACTGTTATCTTCCAACCTGCTACCTCTGCATTTCCTCACCTACACCTCATTAGAGTGTCAACCGCTAAGAAATGGACAGATCTGGTTTACATATAAAAAAACAACAACAGGATTTTTCATCACTGTTAGTTGAACAATCCACAGTAGCCTGTTCATGCTTAATAATGAATAGTTCACAAATCATTTTAAACCTAAAATAAAGGAATACATTTATTTTGTATTATATGAGAAACGGGCCAAAGTATGGTGTCATTGCTTAACATGGTACCAAAGAAAAGGTGAGAAATAAGGGCAGAAGTGAGCTCTGATTAGGCTTGTGGGATCCTGGCCAAATTGTGCCAAACTAACAAATACTATCTTTACTGTTAGCAGGGAACGGAACATCCAATATGGGTACAATTAAGGCTGGTTAGCTGGTAACTTAGTGTACATCTTCTCTATATTACTAAAAATATATATATATATAAAAGCCACAATGGACCAAAGCCATCATGAACAGTGGAGATCAATGAATTTGCTCTAGTGATGACCATAGTATATGGAACACTGTGCCTTGGAATGTAAGAGGAGTAAGGAATAATGAGCATGAATTAATGAATGGAATAAAAGTAGATATTGTGTATTTGTGAAACTAAGAGAACCAGGAAGGCTATGCTGTAATAGCTCTGAAAGAATATGGTATGACCTTGTGGGGTGGAACTGATGAGTTCGTGCTGGGAAATGAAGGTTTAATGAAAAAGCAAAAATGTATGTTTCCCATTTGCCATAGTTAGGGCGCACTTCTATGAGCCAGGTTGGATTGTTAAGGAATTGGTTTATGAATAGCTGCTACTCTGAATTTGCAAAGAACTTTCCAGAGGAGGTTGGGTAGTCAATAAAGCAGCTGAGCCTCCAGAAAGGGACAGAATTAGTAAGAAGGAGTGAAGACATACAAGAAGTTTAACTGTCTGGAAGAACAGATAAAACAGTCGCTCTCTCAGCCCAACCCACCTCACAGGGTGGTTGTTGTGGGGAAAATAAGAGGAGGAAGGAATATTATATATGTATGCTGCCTTGAGTTACTTATAAAGTAATAAAGGCAGGATAAAAAAAACTTTAAAAAGTGTGATGGATGGCAAGCGGGTGGTGATTAGTCTAATAACCATGTTTAATGAGGAGGAACTGAAAAAGCTGGGCCTTGAATTCATATATTTGAAGAACTGCTACACAAAATATGTAGCAGACTATGTCAGGTTCACACATACTAAGCCACAGCTTTTAACTATGATTTATTAATGGAGCCATAGCAGCCAAGTTCACCCATCATGTTAAGCCACAATGCCTTGGTTCTTACATTATGTTAAGCCAAAATAAGCCATATTATCATTTAACTGCCATCATTTAGGAATTTGGTAGGTGCGACAGTCCTATCCTGTGCAAGATAATGGCTAGTGGACTTGAACATTTTGCAATTCAATGAACACCATTCTAAAGGATCAATTAAAACTTATTCTTATAGAAAACAATCTTGTATCAACTTTGGCTACAATCCATGGAGGGAACCACACAGAACTGGTGACTGAGTGTGCTGGAAACATTCTGAGACACACTCAATCCATGTTATCCATGCATTCTGTTTCCATGGATTCGCTTATATGCTTCTATTAAAGCATAACCCGTTTTTCTTTAAATGCGATCTCAGTATGGCTATACATGGCCATGCACAGTAAGGAAAAAAGTCTGAGAGCCTTCCTGCACAGCACCAACATGAACTACAGTAAGGGAAACCACATTCTTGTTCTCGAGGTATTTGTTGTGTTAACAAGACTCCACGTCGTTCTGATAATAGATCATGTGATCCCACTCGGAACAATGCTTCAATCATTGTGGTTTCCATTTCTGCGGGGGTTTTCAAGAATATAACCCCTGCAGATAACAAGGATTGAGTGTACTTAGGGGCTGTCACCAATTTGAAGGGCTTCTTAACAAGTTGAAAGACTGTGAGCACTTTTAGCTGTAGAAATGTGTGGGAAATTTGTGTTCATACACTAGCCACAGCTCCCTCTTAACCTGCAAAATCAAGTAAGATATATGGCTTCACTCCATATCTTGGGTCTAAGATAAGAGCACTAATATGCCCATATATACTTCCCTTGGCATCTGCCAGATTCTCTGTTCACACAGGCATCCCTGGGGGGAATAATGGGGTACAAGTGGCATAAGGTTTGCCCTTACATACTTGCATGCAATGTCATGACACAAATACAAGGAGTAGAGATTTTGGAAATGTCACAACACACATTTTCTTTTCCATCATCCTAGTTAGGAATGGACTCCTATGCCTACTCAACCTTTTTTGCTTTGTGACTATGCACACAAATGATCATGGCAGTTATTTTATGAATGGGCAAGCCTGACCCCAATGGCAGGCACAGCACCAACAACATACTATCCATGGGGCCTAAAACAGTGGGGACCTCTGCTGAATGAGTTTTCTTAACATATTAATAAAAGCATTAAAAAAAAACATGGAACTCTAATATGTATGCAAACCTTCAGTCAGCAGAAGAATATATACAAATATATATTTTACATATGCATCTTCAATAAAACCTTGAATTATTGTTTAGGCACTCTTTGAAAAAGACTCTCAATTATTCATTCTTCCTAACACTGATTTTTAAAAAGCGACATTCTTAGTCAAGATGATATATGCATCTGTACTTATTTTTACTGTGTCCGTGAAAGAATAGCAAATTTTGAAGCTGGTACTGAAAGAATGCAAATAACTAGCATTTGTTGTAGTACCTGGGTTATAGAATGTAATGCTTTTCTGTTGCTCAGGTACTAGCGGTTGCATGGGCTCCAGCTGGTGCATCATGAGCTGTTCTTGCTCTCCTGGACTCTGAAAACAGGAAATAATAATCTATTATAGGGTAGACAAGACTAATCAGCCCTAAAAATGTTAGAACTTGAGCTACGCGTGAGTTAAGGGCTCCAATGCTGTGAATATTTACACGGCAGTAAATTCATTGTATTCAATGGAGCTTCCTTTGAAGTACACAGCCATAACTCTATTAATATAGGTCTTTTTATATCTACAATCAAGAAAGGCAAGCTCTTTCTTTAAGTGTTGTAGGAACCCAACCTCAAAGTTAAAATGTGGTTTGCTTGCTTGCAGCTTAGTATCTTTCATGATGTGAACTCAGTAGCTTATAGCTTAATGCATTCTATGAATCCAGCCAAGTGTGCCTTATCCAGGAAACGATGGTTAAGGACTCTTGGTTTAATGTGCTATGCAAAAATAGTTGGTCACTTTCAGTCATCGTTTCTCACATCGGCATTCTGGTATTGGAAGAGGATGAAGTTATCCCAACGCTCTATCTAGCTGACTGCATGAAGGGCTTTAGGATTGTAGTGTCAAGACTAGAGATCTCCTGCTTTAGTAGTCTGCTGTTGTTCTCAACTAACAGAAATTTTCTACATATGGCAAACAGGGCATCTTAGAGGGATGTGCAGGGCTTTGGATTCAAAATCAAAATGGTGCTTCAGATCACAGGGGTATGATTCTCTACCAGGAATTGTCCACAAGTCCTTAGAGCAGTGTTTCTCAACCTCAGCAACTTTAAGATGCGTGGACTTCAGCTCCCAAAATTCCTCAGCCAGCCATGCTGGCTTGGGAATTTGGGAGTTGAAGTCCACACATCTTAAAGTTGCTGAGGTTGAGAAACACTGCCTTAGAACATCTGCTTCTTTTCCTGGGATCATGAGGCTTCCCTCCACAGCTGCACTGCAATCCTAAGAAAACAGGGGCATCGGCGGGGGGATGAAAAAATTGATTAACTTTTTTGACACCCTTCCCCTACAGGCACTCCTGCAAGAAAACATACACTTGGTTTAAGAAGCTGCAGAGAAGTGCTGTGAGCATGCCCACTCAACTTTTTTGCTTAAACATCTGTAATCAATAACAACAGTTTTCAAGAAAGTGTAGTTTTACACATACACAGAAAAACAAAGGCAAATAAATAATTAAAAATATAAAAATACCTTATCATTTAGGTCTACACTCTGTTATACTTTGCATAACAATTATCCACAAATAGTTTGACTAATTGAGTGATAATAAATGTAACTTACTTTAGACAGAGTAGAAACTCACCTGTTCCTTAAGAGATATGGCTTGTTGAGTTCTCAAAAGGGAAGCTGCAGCAACAGAATTGGAATTTCCCAAAGTTTCACTATTCTTCACAGCAGGAAGAAGTCCAGCTGCAGTTGGTGGCATGAAACATTGGGGAGAAATGCAGCTGACCAAATTCCCCAAAGGCTTGATATCCGGAGAGAATGAAGCATGACCTAAGTCCTCAGGTATAGCAACTTCTCTTTCCAGCATGTAACTGTTGTCAGAATTATTGAGAAGTGTGAACTGTTCAATGAAAAGGTCACCGGTGCTGTTTCCTGATGATGGTCCTTCTTTCTCATTAGTTGTTCCAGGAGATAATACTTTCCCCAGTGAGTCTTTTGAAATCCAGGGAGATGCACATTTTTTATTCCCAAGGCTACAGGTTTCCATTTCCCATCTCTCAAAACATTTATTAAGAATAGACAATAAGTGTAACTGAGATCAAGGGAATTACTCTGAAACGGATCCTAAGGACTCCCTTCTGAGTTAACAGGGAGAGCTCTTCTGCACTGATGGAGAAAGCTCTTTCTTCCACAAGAACTGGAGAAACATACATCAGGAGCAATTAAATAGCAAAGATTAACTATTCCACATATGCATTCCACATATATTCTGATACACAGTACATTTGTAATCATCCTTGCAATAACTCCCATGAGAATCAGTTTCCTGTCTCAGGTAAGTTAAGAGGCAACACATTTTCAAAAGAAATTAAATGCATGTAATTCAGCTATATAAGTTCATTATTACCTCTACTGGAATGCGGTGCAGTTTTTGCTAACTGTCCAGTGGAGAATTACTGGACTCTGATGACTAGAATGATGAATTTAAACCAGAGGATCCAAAATCCAGATCTATCTAGATCTAGAACCTAAAGCATATCAAAGGAAGTCGAAAAGAGGAAGCTTAAAGAGTGAGAAGTACAAGAGAGAGAAGCACAGGCATCAACACAATGAGAAATTGTGGCCATTCCAATTTGCTCTAGTTTGGAATCTTAATTAAAAGGCTCTGTTTGATAAAAGATGGCAGTACAAATAGGGGCTCTTGTCAACCAGACTGCTTGGTATAGCATGTTTAAAACGTTCATATTGCCACTAGCTATTCTGACCTAGAATCAAAAGAGTTTGTGGGTTGGACCATTTTGTCTAATCTCCTGCCTTCTTTTAGGATAGCCTAAAACAGCCCCAAAGATGCTTCCTTTGTATAAAATATCAGTAGGTCAAGATTTCAGTGTTTAACCTATCTTCCCATTTGCAACCACCCCACAGGCATGGGGGGGGGGGGCATGGCATGCAAATGATGACGTGCATATGGTTACATCATGACGTAACCCATGTGATTTATGTACTTGGGTCCAATAACAGGATGCAAATACCAAAGGGCAGGGGTTGTGTTGTGATGCCACCATGCATAAAAAGTCCGATCTTTATCTTTGGGGACTACCTACAGATGTCTATGGACCATCAACAAGAACAACAACAACAATAATTGGATAAAAATGCCAAATCCAGTCTAAACATCTGGCTGACTGTGTGACCAACGATAATATGGATACAATATTCCAAAGCTCCACACATTAAGAATACGTGTGGGCTATGTTGCAACATCTGCCAAACCTTGGTTGTACATTTGAGAGATCTCAACTGAAATGTCAATAATAATAATAATAATAATAATAATTCATTTATTTTGTATGCCGCCAAACTCTCAACAACTCTGGGTGGCTCACAACAATCAAAGAAAGAAATTATAATAAAATCAATAAAAAATAAAAAAATAAAAAAATAAAGATAAAAGATGGCAAGCATGATGAAGCAAAGAGTCAAATAACGAAACAGAACTCAAATAATGAAAAAGAAAACCAGCCAAAAGCAGTTATCTTACTACTTTCAATAAATAAGCCCTTTGTATGCAATTTAGAATAACATTTTTTCCTCTGTTTGATTCATAAGCATCTCAGAGCCATAGAAATCTTCTCCCCTGAAATATGCAGACATGGGGTCATTTTCTGTGGCTGCTATCTAGATTATACGTGTGTACAAAGCAAGTAAGCTTCTCTGAAAACTGTGGATCTAGCTCCAAGCAGCTCTTAGAGGGGACTGCAGATTATTAATAACTGCAGTACAACTTCTTCCCGACTTGCCAATCAACAGACAACTTTATTTGCAGCCCTGGTCTAAGCATCTGCTGTGATTAAATAATTCAATTCAATTCAATTCAAATACAACTTCCAAAGCTATCAAATCCGAACAAAGTAGGTAGTCTCTGAAAGCGTGAGCCATCAACCCTGAAAGCTGCAATAGGGGTGTTTTGTTTTAGCATCTGGTTTGAACAAGATTAATCACTTTACCCATTTACCGTTTGGAGTATGAATACACCCAATTAATCATGAATGATCAACTTTGGCCTGGACTCTCAGAAACACTAGGTGAGTGTTATTTGCAGCCACTGCGCTCATCCTGTTCGTATTCATCCTTTTGCGCTCATCCTTTGGCTGCACTATAGCAGAAAGGAGGTGTATGAATGAAAAAAAAGGGGGGAGTGCGGCAGGGAAGAAAAAAAAAGCAAGCATCATACACACCCGTGCAACACGTCTTTTACCGTCCTTCTCCGGGGCTTCTTTAAGATTTGCATGGGGGCAGCCAAACCACCCTGAGCTTGAGCGAGACGGCTAAAAGCAAGGAAGTTTAAGACGCCGAGAGGCTGTTGCAGTAACTACAGCAACCGTAAACAGGGAAGGCTGGAGCGGCGGCGTGCAAGAGCGGCCCGAAGGAGGAAGAGGAAGAGGAAGAGGAAGGAAGAGTTGTTCCGCCGCAACGGGGCGACCCGACTTACTGCGCCCGCTTCGAAGAGCGCCGCGAGCGCTGCTGTTTGCTCGGAGGCGGAGGACCAGGGTCTCGGTCTTGAAGTTGCTGATGGGACGACTCGAGAGTCCACCCACCACTGGCGGTGGACCGGATCAGCGGCAGACGCACCTTCAAGCCGCGCTTCTCGGCCAACTGCGACCCTGGTCCCACGTGGCTTCGGGCTCAGCCAAAAGGTGGGGAACCAGCCCGCCTTCCCGGGAATTAGATGGGTAACCTGTTTGTTGGTGGGTAATTTCAACTACTCTTTCACGTTGAAGGATTTATATAAGGCCGTTGAATTCTAGCGTCGTCTTTACTCAGCCATCACTGTCGCCTGTCTCTAATCCCGTGAACTGAAACTACCTTGTCTTCTGATACGCTTAAGGTTCAGATCCATCTTGTATCATATAAGCTAACATTCACTGCAAATCATTTCAGTTCGCAGCCAACAAACTGGCATCATCTGGATACACAAGATGCACAATAATGTCCACAATTATCACATCACCAAAAGCATTATTTATACATATATCCATAAATACATTAAATCAAGGGAATAGCTTATATCCTTGTTTTCAAAGCATTGCATTTATTCTTCTGCATGCCTTATTTCCATCATATACTACTCTTATAATATTAACAACCAACAATTCAACTTTGTAATTGTCCAACAATTATCCATAATTCAAACCTATTAACGTTCTTATGTTTTTCCTAAATCAAGAAAGATGAATCATTTTTTTCAATGACCAGTAAAAGATAAAAAACCTAGTCTGTATAATCTCTGCCTAGCATAAAGCCAAGTGCACTTCCCAAATGTTACTCATTGTCACCTCTTACTCTCTTTGGTTTAGAACTGCCCCCCCCCACAAACACTTCTTGCATCCCCTTATTTAACAGAAGAACAGCAGCATTCTTCCAATCATCAGGAATACAAGCGCCACACATTAAAAAGTTGCACAATCACTCCATAAGCAAACCACATCCATATTTTAACATTTCCCCAACTATACTGTCTACATCTGCAGCCTTAACATTTTTCAACATTTTCACAGCATTTATGACTTCCTTTTCATCTTTTTTTTCTTGGACACTATTCATTTCAATTGTACTCTATGATATACCATTTGTTTCCTTAATGACTCATTTTGGTATTCCATCATCTCAGCTTCAACCTCAATCTTTCCATCCCTTATTGATTCCATTCACTCTGCTGCAGGGTCCCCGTTTAGCCTTTTTTACCTCCTTCCAAAATAATTTTATTTCAATCAAAATTGCTTTGCATTTTCTCTTCCTCTTTTAACTATTCCTTGCTCCTTTTTATTACATTCTTTGTGATTAATCTTCTTTCTCTCTGCATATTATACAAACTTTTTTTAAAAAATATTCTCTTTCATTTTTTCCCCCTCATCCACAGCCTCTTCCATTTCATAATTTCACCAGTGTCCTTCATTCTTCTTAACAGAATTCCATGCATTTCATTGGCACTTTTTACCACAATTCATTCACCTTTCATTCTCTGCCAGGCAGCTTCTACATCCTCTTTTCTTACATCTACTTTCCATGCATTTTGTTAGGAGTTGATATTTTAATACTTTTGCAGATAGAACTGTTGGTTTCTCTTTCTGCAATCTTTTTGCTTTCCCATTTTTTTCTCTTCTATGTTTCTTCTCCCAAGATCCATTCTTGACGCTACTAAAAGATTATCTGTGCCACATTCAGAAGCTTTTGTTATCCTTCACTATTTCTGCCATTCATTATAATCAAACCAATCCAGGTTTTTAGTTCCATCCTTCTGCCACAGACTGATACTTAAAGCTCATATTTGAAAAGAATATAAGTATTTCTAAACAGATGCTCACTATGTTCATTAATACTTCTGTCTCCAAATCACCCAGTCCCTTTTTCTATACTCATCTCATTCTCACTCTACCAATTCATGTAATCTAACAGAGTGACTTTTAGATTGCATTCATTAAAATATGCGCGCATGCACACACACACACACACCATCCTCTACATATGGGGTCCCAAAGCAGTTCTAGTTAGAATTGCATTTAAAACTGAAGATATCTGTATGACATGAAAAGATTATTGCAATGTCTCAAATATCGGAACACATATTTCTTCTAGTTCCTTCCAGGGCAGATATATGTATGTATGTGTAATTGAGTGGATAGCAAAGGCAATATTTTATTTATTTCCATAACTGCTTTCTTGAGACAGCCTTGTTAGTGATCATATTTTATGGATAGGAAATAAATGGCTGGTTCATATCAGGAAATATGCCACTCATCACTCAATATTTTAAGACCTTATTTAAACATTTTGAAGAACCTCTTACAAAAAGTATATTTCAGAATGTTATAGAAATATGAAATCAGTTAGCTGCAATGAAAGCTTTCCATAGCTTGGTCACTTGTCATAGCAGCTTGTTATTGCTATAGTAATGACTAGGTTGGGTGTCTCCTTGGAACTTTCTCCAACACTGTGGCTAATGGGAGGCAGGAAACGATAGATCAGTGATTCTCAACCTTTTTGAAGCTGCTGCCCCCCTAAGGAGCGGAAAATTTTTC